TGCCCTCACCTATAGTCACATGCTTTGGGTAGCGACGGTACAACGAAGTCATGGATAGAAGCAGCAGAAATGAGTTTCCTCTGCAGGGTGTCTGGCTCAGTCTTAGAGATTCTGGAGGGGCTCAAAGTAGAGCCACTGTTCTTCCACAATATAAAGGAACCAGCTGAGGTGATTCAGGCATCGATGTAGAGTGCCTCCTGGAGGCCTACCTGGGGAGTTGTTTTGGGGATGTCCAACTGGGAGGAGGCCTTGGGGCAGACACGGTGGAGAGATTGTATCACTCAGCTGGGCTAGTTACGTCTTGAAATCCCTTTAGAGGAGCTGGTGTAGAGCTGGGTGAGGATCGGTGCCATTGGCTTTGGATAAACTGAATTGACAGTGCTGTCACTCTTGCTTGTGGGATTGGAGTGCTGACATTTCAGGGACTCCCCATGCCTGCATTCCCACCTGCCTCTCCCTCCTACTTATGCTGCCATAGCCATATCTGCCGGAGCTTGCACATTGCACTTCATATTGCACTCGTCTAACTTTTACACTGCCTATAGTCTCCCCTACTTTGACTAATTGCATATTTTATTTCCCCTACTCCTCCTGGGGGGTGCTGCCTGGAGCCCTCACTCTATCAAGATGTCCAGCACACCCTGCAACATGTGACGTCGCCACTACCAATGACGTCCGTGCAACCAGCTCGCCGTTCTGCCTGTGTCATCTTCCATGTATGACCCGCTGCCTACCTTCTGGTTGCCTGCCGATTGGAGGGAGCGTTGGCACCGGCTGTCATCTCCCCCCTGCTCACTGTTTGTGTCTAAAATTTTACTGTATTTGACTCTGCCTTGCCGGCCCCTGGAGGATGGGCTCCCCCTTTGAGTCTGGTCCCTCCCAAGGTTTCTTCCTTCTGGGGAGTTTTTCCTTGCCACTGTCGCCTATGGCTTACTCACTGGGGGCTTTGGGTGGGGATGCTGTAAAGCACTTTGAGACGATGTAATGTTGTGATAATGCGCTATACAAAAATAAATTTGTTGTTTGTTGTTGAGTAAGTGACTAGGGAGAGGGAGGTATGGGCATCTGACCTATACAGACCGAGTTTTAGCTTTAGTTAACAATAATAGACCTCTGCCTCTGTGACCCTGACCCAGATGAGGGGATGAGAATTGATGGATGGATGGATGGATGTAAGGAGAAATATGACTGTGTGGCAGGTCTTCAGAAGCTGTTTATCAACAGCCACAACAGAGCTGCACAGATTTTACAGCGGGAGGCAACAGTGGCTAGCCTTTGTGGTATGGATGCAGGTGGCATCCACATGGTCTTCTCCTTAGAGTCGTCTTCTCTTCCGCCTTAAAGACCCACGCTTCTCAGCCCTGGCGCTGGTCCAAGGTGTTAGGAGGTGGACATCAAAGCACAATGGAACAAAGGCCAGAAATCATCCGCAGAACAGCAACTATTTCTGGCAGCGGCAGGTATGGGAAGGGTCGCCTGATGCATGATGTGGGCTGGGCACTCGGAGGATCAAAGCAGATGGATTATGGTTAAGAGCCACACTCAAGCCAGCTATTTGCTTTGTTACGTCCAGCCTCTCAAGATAATGCAAAACAAGGACATCACTGTGAATGACGAATCAGTCTGGCATATGTTTGAACTCCATTAATCTCTTTTTATCAAATGGGTAACCGTAACAGTTACAATCATGATATTCCTACACAGTGTGTACATTTAGTGGACAAGCCACAAAAACTCAAAACAAGAACAGAAATGTATTTACTGACAATACTAATACCAAAACTACAAAATTAGATTGGATTATTCAGTTCATTTCTGGGAAAGTCCAGCAATTCAGAAGTTGTTCTATGAATATGTGTCCTTTCTGTGAAGATGGGGGGGGGGGGGGTGTGCATCACGTGTAGAAGTTGCTCTTTAGTGAGGTCACCACGTCAGTGCCAGGGAGTGTGCACTGATGTTGCTAGGTAACCACTTCAGCAGAACAAGCCAGGAGGTCTCAGGCCTAATGTCAGCGTGGCTTCTGGTCTATTACTATAGACCAAGATAGTATGCTCACAAAGGAAGTGAAAATTCTGTGTGAGCACTGGGTTAGGTTAGGATGACCACCTAATCCATGTCAGAGCTACTTCAGGTTTTACAAACTACTATAAAACAGAAAGACACACAAGCTTGGCTAAATTGTTTGGTTCATCTTGTGCTCTGACTGGTTTGTTTCTTTGATTGAAAGATTTATTCAACTGTGTCACATTAGCATTAATGACACATGCATGATTATATGAGACTGACCAATCAGCACACAGCAAGAACTCAGTGCTTAAGTGAAATCCAGGTCTTTTTAATTGAAATGGTTCAAATGGTAGTTTACAAACTATGTCATAGCTCATAGTGTCCCTCCTGACATGGATTAGGTCATCACCCTAGAAGGGGCAGAGACTGGAGTCTCCACAGTCTGAATGACTGGGGGGCTGCCAAAATCAGGATTCACAGCTCTGAAGAAAGTACAAGGGGGCATTAAATCATTAAAGAGGAATATTAAGTAGAGGGAGTTATATTAATATTGTTCATCATTTTAATTGCGTCTACAGTTTGGTTTCCACATCCTGGCTCCTTACAGGAAAAAATGGAAGCTTTACAATGAAGGGTAACAGGTCCAGTCCTGGAACATGAACCCTAAGCTGCACAGAGGATCACAGCGGTAGCGGACTTGTCTTAAGGCGGTGAACGGAGACTGTGGGAATTCAGTCACCGACTGAAAAGCCCAACAAGGGATCGGCAGAGCTGGCTACAGAGACTGTAGTGCCGAGGTGCAGAGTAACCTTTAAAACAAAGCCCAACACATATCTTGATTCCAGCTGCCTAAGTATGCTATTCTTCTCTTACCATTTAATGTGTAACCTCTCCTTATCAAAGGTCACGGGCATGACGGTGACGATGTAGGAGAAACGTGCGATGTGGAGCTAAGGTAGTCCAGCCTGTTCACACAACCATGGAGCCATTTGATAGAAAGGCACTACAACGATCGGAGCCCAGGGAGCTACCATCAGGATCTGAAATCTGACTTCATGTTGTAGTAGTTTTAGGATGATCTTTTAAAGGTCTAGACATGGGAGGCACTTCATGTAAAAACTCATTATCATCTCTCAGTGAATTAGAAAAAACAGCACGTCCCACGAGCACCTGCTGATGGAGTTGGATCTGAAGTGTAACATTGAGACTCAGAAGGCATGCCTGTCAGTCAAGTGTCACTTTCCACTGCTGCTAGACAGTATTTTCCCCCCTGTATTATTAGAAAGGATACATTCTCCCTGCGGACAGACTATATCTATCCCTGGGGGATAAGGTCAACCTCTGTGAAGTATATAGTGAGATTAACTTGAGAGCTGACTTCAAATACTGCCTGAGAACCAGCTTTACTCGAGAGGGAAGAAGAGGAGTAACATTTGACATCGATAATCATCTCACAAAGGATGTGATGTCACAATGGAAGTTTTTGTGGTAGAGAGATGCCAGCACCAGCTGATTATTATCACCTCTTCACTTTTTCCACTGCTTGTCACATATTTATAAATTATGAGTCATTTGGTTATTTACACATCTAAATGGTGCTGCGAAAATGAAATGTGAATTGGCTGGAATGTGTCATAAATGTAAGAATGCACACATGTCACAGCTAACCTGCTGTCAGCTGCTCGGTCCATGGCTCACAGCAATTGCCGCAGAGACCAGCAGAAGACCGTCGTGCTGATCTGCCATATCCGATCAAATGGGTCAACTAAACGCTCGAAACGCTCGTCACTTTAAATATCACATGTACTAATGTGGCTGATCTCTCAGTTTGGTTTGATCAGCTTCTTGTCTAAAAAAAAATCCTGAATAATATCGCCTCCTGCTAGTCATCATTTCTGGTATAGCTTCAGGAAATATTTCTAATTTGGTTTAAAGTGGAAGTTGAAGGGGTGCAGCACCTTCACAAATGTACTCCAAATAGAGTTCGTACAACTTGGTATGGAAGGTAGAAACCATGAGAGGGGCTGATTTTTTATGAAGAAACTTGAGAAGCAACATTAAGACTGGGCCAGTGCATTGCTTAGCAGGTGAAAATGACAACACGTCAATCATTAATCAAAGGACAACCAAATATTTACAGTGATTACAAGGTCAATATAATCAATATCTATATACATATCTCAGGTAGGAGCCTGTTCTGGTAAATTGAGCAAAATTGGTGGATTTTACCTTGCTGCCAAGGTGAACCAATAGAGCGGGAGAATTGTGTTTGTTATACGTTTGAGCTCGGTTTGTTGGTGTTTTGTGACCAATCAGGACTTAGAAGTCCTTATCTGGAACTGAGAATTATGGTTTATCAACTGGTTGCTCTGTGTGCTCGGTGTGACTTGGTACCTGGTGCCAGAGTGTGACGGGAGCGCTTTGCAGGAATTGCTGGAATAAGAGAGATAACTTTTTGCACCAACTGAGAGGTCCGGGGTTTTATTCTAAGTGGCTTCACTGGAGTTATTAGAGGGGATTTATAATTTTTCTACCACATCTGTGCTTGTGATCAGAATGTCGCTGATTCTAATCATGAGGTCAGCAGACTGAAGCCACCACTGTGCATTTTTGAGGCCCATAACACCAATTGGCTGGGCTGACCCTGCGCCCCCAGACCCCCAGAACTCACTCTCACCTGTGTGTGTGTGTCTGTGTGTCCAATTAATAACACAGGATAGATGAAAACCCACCAAAGGGATGAATAAAGTATCACTATTCTGCTAATAATTTTGCCCTTTTGGAAAATACAGTAGATACACTCAAACACCTATAATGTCCATTTTCCAAGAAGGGCTAAACAGTTATGTCTCCCAACTGATGCACAATGACAAACTACTAAAAAGTAAAATATAATAGGAAATAAATTAAATAAAAAAATAAAAAAAAACACTTACCTGTCATACCCTTAGGATGCGTCATCATTAGCATAATATGAAGAGTATAATGCAATATATTGAGTACCATTTCAGATTTTATTTTTGACAGCATACATCTATGCTTACTGCAGTTTCATATTAAAACATTTTAAAATAAACGCTGCCAAAAAAAGCAAACTATGTTCAACCATTACAACACACCTACACTCCTCACTCTATCACACTTTACCACAGGTACCATCTTGAAGACTAATATCGCACTGTCAGTTAATGTCCCATAATTTTACAATGTGACAAATTCCTCTTTTTTGGCAACTTTCATGAAATGATAAAACACGCGTGGACACATTGTTCTTTTGGACAACCAGGCAACAATTAAATAGAAACTGATCATATGCCAGAGAATACAGAGCTGTCCAAAGTCCTGTGCAATAAACACCTCAAACTCTCACACCACAAACTCTGCTACTGTGTATGCAAGTGTGATATTACATATATTTTCACAGCTTAAGAGCCTTGTAAAAAAGAAAAAAAAAAAAGACTGAGAAATATATAAGCGACACGAATAAAAAGCACTAGAGAAGTCCGAAGTGGTGTGGGAGAGGACAGACGGCTCTGAGATCACCATCTCCAGCGGTACAGTACGTCACTCTGCTCTCGTCGATCATGTAGCTGAAGCTCAGCTCCTTTGACCCAACACCCGATCCTCCATGCTGGAGCTCCACCCATCCCTCTTCTCTCAGAATGGCTCAAGTGGTTAAACGCTATTTATGCTCTGGACAAACTAACTCCTTCCTTACTGAGTGAAGGTCACTGGGACCCTATAAATAAACCACACGGCTGCTTGCTAACCCAGATTTGTTAATACTGTAGCACCAATGATGTTACCTCCTATACACTCTGATTTATGCCCCCGAGACCTATTCTGCCAGCAAACAATTTACCGATATCCTGGCAATGGCTTATATAGATTATGAAGGCAACAAACCCTTGTTAGATACAGGACAGTAACAACTTCCCCAAGTTATTCGTAAATAACATCCTGAACCTGAAAAATATCACCCACTGAAAATCAGCCGTGTAAAGCCTTCACAGCTGAGGAACCTCTGGAGTGAAGAAAGCAGTAGGCGGCAATAACACAGAGTCATTCAATGGGAAAAGGCTTGGAAATCATCTCTAGGGCTCATCTGAAGGTATTGCCTCCTCTAAATGTCATACACTTACATCTACTGATCCATTTCAAGTGGTTTATTTTAGGAAAAAAAATGATTAGTTACTCCAAATGTGTCTTTCAGGTAGGCATTTCAACGAGAACCTGAGACCAGCATAGCTAGAGTATACAGTGTGGAAAAGTAAAGAAAGACATCACACAACTTTGGTGAACAGGTCCTCACATTCCAAAAGTGATGAACTCTGTCCTTTGCTCAACCTATACAACCTCACAAGGCCTCTGCTCTGCACACATCCATCTTCTGTGACCTAAAATTCAACACCCAGTCACCATCTTAAGGTTTTCCTGTATCAAAACCACGTCCCTGACTGCCAACTCCAGCATAGATCGATATCTTGTGGAACAGTGTTTACAGGGTATGTGACGCAAATCCCCTGCCCACCCAAAAGTATGAGAATTATTTTTTTTTTAAATGGCAGGAACTATCCTACTGTATATCAAGCTTCAACATTCTCAACATGGTCACCCTACGCTAATTTTGCATATATACATCAAAATAACCACTTCCAGTCACTTTACTTTAGTCTTGATGTTCACAGTCAAATTTCCTGGAGAAATCCAATCTGGTGGGGAGAAGAATTTCTGCCGTAATACATACTTAACCAAACTGGGCTGCCCTCTCCCTCACTGCATCCCAGCTCTGTTATTTTCCAAACTCTTCGCCGGGGAAATTAAGGAAAAGGGGGAAGGTAAAGATACAAAAACCTGTCAAATACTGCATAGAATCCAGCTGATCGATCCCAAACTGTCCTGCTGACCAGTTCACAAGATAACAGCAAGGCTTCTCATAAGGGAGACTTTGGCTGTTTGCTAGAAAGAAAAGCCTCCTGCAGGTTTACTTCTAAGGTTCCATGCTGTAGTTACAGTACTATGAATGGTAACTAGTGAGATCAGTGCAGTTTTAATCACTCCATACTTTATGTGAAGGTATGATAATAAAATAATGGTATTCCAAGGGTGGCACAGTGGCTCAGCAGACAGCACTGTTGTCTCACATCGCCAGGGTCAGGGATGTTGGCATGCTCTCCCTGTATCGCTTGGGTTCTCTCCCATGAGCCAAAGACAGGCACATAGTCCAACCTGTGTCTTTAAATTGCCCAAAGTCTACAACTGAGATTGTGAGTGGCCTGTGACGGATCAGCGTCCCATTCAGGGTGAGCCCCGGCCTTGTGACGGATCAGCGTCCCATTCAGGATGAGCCCCGGCCTCGTGCTGCCTGGGACAGCATAAGTGGTTGGAAGGTGGGTGATGTTATTCTTGGAAAACACATACTAGGAGTGGTCATACTATCATCGCTAATTAACAACAGTCTGGTTTTGCTCAACATAAAGATTGGTCGACCTGGTAGAGTGACCATGGCTTGTGTTTAAATGTCATTACCTCTGATATAAAAAAGTTAAAAAGCATGTGTTTCCAGTTTTTCTCACAGGTGTTTTAAAAAAAATAATTATATCTATATATGCTGTCCCTGACTTACAACCAATGCAACTTACGACAAGTCGCACATATGACTGAAGTTTTCTTTTAAAAATTAAGTAAATGTATGTAAAAACACATTTTAGGCGGCCGTTCACCCGACAGCACTACGCTACCTAGTGCACACTACAGGCTGTGCCCATACGATAGTTAACACGCCAAAGTATAGTGCAACCTTACCAGCCTCACATGCATCTCCCACTCTCATTCTCAAGCCTAAAAGATTATCCTGTTCCGATATACGTCCATTTATGTGTATGGCTTGTCTGTCGGAAAGGAACCCAGTCGCAAGTTGGGGACAGTCTATATATTTTGCTGCGCGAATATTGAAATTATCAATTAACTAACTTTCCTGTTTCAAAGTCATATAATGAGAAAGTGTACTTCTAAATGCAGAAGACCATGAACTGTGGCCGGTCAAACAACTATTTCTGATGGCTCAAAAATGTCATGTGACCAAAGTTTCCCTAGCAAACCTTCATATATGTACTATTTGCAACCCAGATTGTATTCTTACCCAATTAATCTTCCGGATCACACAAAGAACTGGTTTCTTGCACTTATGTTACAAGTACTTAACAGGCTCTGACAGATGTTTTGAGAGTAAATAGCAGAAAGGAATACAAACGTTAAAGAACAGAAGACCTCAATATTTCCCAAGCACCTGTTAAAATAATGGCTTCTACCCACCCGTCCCACAATCTCAGAAGTGCAGAATGATGTTGGAATCAGAGCTGATACCCAGTGCTTTTAAAACAAACACCTAACAGTTAGACTACATTAAAACAATAATTCAGACAGTTATAGTGCAATGTTACATTATGCAGACAAAAAAAAAAGATTAACAAACGTGAATAACCAAAAGCAGGAAATTGGTTCTGTTATTCTCCACAAAGATCATGCTAAATGCTGCTTTTGCTGATCAAGTCAGTACAGGGAGACACTACAATCAGCTTCATAATGCCGTCTTTCAACGAGACCCCTACGCTCTGCAGACCACTTTCAAAAAGCCGTCCTTCTGCCTGCAAACGAGCAACGCATGAGTCCTTCTAACTTCCGTCTTCTTAGGTGTCTCTGTCATCCACTGCGCACCTGCAGAAATCTCTTTTTGCTGACCGCAATAAAAACCTGAGATTGTAATCGTCATTGAACTAAAAAGAAAAACACAAAAGAAATGCCTAAATTTGGATTTTGTGAGGTACTGGATGTTTTGCTACTTAGGCACGTCGGAAGTCGGTTGGAAGAAATGCTGCATCTAGAGTCACATTCGATTCTGTGCTTCAGCATCATGTATAAAAGTTTGAAGCAGACTGCAGTGGTTTGGAGCATTCACCCGAGTGAAAGGGCAGACTCAGTCTTCAGCTAGGGTGAAACCCAGTTACTGCCTACAACAGAAAGAACTTCAAAGGAGCATAACGTTGGGTCGGACTAAACGAAGATCTCATTAAGACCCGGAGCCCATTCAGGACACCTCAATGACCTCCATGCTGCCAGAGAAGCTGGTTTGGCTGCCCACCTTCCCCAGCTCCTCCCTGGATCGGCTCTCAGCCATACCGTCCCCAAACTCCATCTGGCAGCTCCGTCGTTTCAGCTGCTTCTCGAAGGGGCTCTCTTCGTGCCAACTGCGGCGCGAGTCGCCGCGGTCACCGTTCTTTTGCCGCCGCCGCACTGCCTCCAGGCCGGCACTGCAGCCGTAGGCAGAGAAGCCCGCTCCGCCTCCACTGAACACGGCAGAAGCGGAGTAGAAGCGGGTGGACTCTGAGAAGTACCAGCTGCCTGCCAGTGACGGGGAGGCGGTAGCGGCAGGGGCAAGGATGTCCGAGTGCCAGCCCTTAAGGGCTGCCCCCATGCCCGGCTTTGCTAGGTGCTGCTGGCTGCTCGAGAGACCAAACAGGAAGTTAGTGGCCCTGGGGCTGTCCTCCATGCTGCCGCTGCGGTACAAGGGGTAATGGTGTGTTTGCGGTGGATGCTCAGACCGACTTGAATGCCTGGGGCTGGAGTTTATGCCAGTGCTGGGGCAAGAGCTGGTGCAAGAGCTGGTGCTGCCTGGATCTATACTCTGGACGACAGCATCCGCCTTCTCTCTGTCAGGACTCTGCTCGGGGGTGGACTGCTCGGACACCTCTTCCACGGGAGAGAACTGGCAGGGCTTACTTGCGGGCTCCTTGAAGGCAGAGGACTTGTAGAACTCGCTGGCGTCCTCAGCTGGGCCAAGACCCAGCAGGCTAGTGCCAGAACCCCCATAGGACTTAATGTCCAGGGAAAAGGAGCGTTTAAGTTTGGCGTTTTCCTCTGTGCCATCGAGGGTTGGCCCCAGGTGCAAGCTCTCCAAGCCCTGTGCTAGGGTCCTCTCCCCAGCCCTGCACGGAGACAGGGCATCTGCCAGGATGCAGGGCAGGGTCAGAGTTTCTGGCTGCTGAGGGTCACTGCTTTCCCTTAAATGGCTACATGCTAAGGGTAGCCCCAGGGATCCGCAAATGACTCCTCCCTCTGGCCCAGAGAGGGAATCGTTCATCTTGTCTGGATGCATCAGCTTCAGCTTAGTTGTGAGTTGCCCAGGGGGAGACTTGATCTTCTTCTCAAAGTCTAGGAGTTGACCCAGGAAATTGAAATTTGGGGAAATGGTGGGCCTTTTCTCCTTCACAAACCTAGGAGGACAACATACATGCGATTAGACTACCAGAGACATTGAAGTTGTTCAACTCATTTCTGTGACTGGGACTGGAGAATTTTAGTTCATTCAATGAAAGAGAATCTCTATGTTCTCTGAGATCCTAATTTAAAGAAAAAGTGAGAAACTCCAACCCCCCACATCAGCTTTTGGTAATGTCTACAAAGTCCCAACTCATTTTTATATTGTGGTACATGACTGAGACAGATTGCCTATAACCTATGAGATACATTGCTTGAATCGAACCTGTATGCCTCATCCAAAGACATATCCATCCTCTTCATGATGTATGCAATGGCTATGGTGGCCGACCGTGATATTCCTGCAAGGCAGTGGACCAGGACTCTGGCATTGGAGGCTTTTGCTTTCTCTAGAAGACAAAAGTGGGTAACTACCCATTAACAGCTTCCCCAAAAATAAAGGCAAAAGACTCTAACAGACCAAAATCCACAGTGATGAAGATGTCAATGGTCACAAATTCTTCTACATTTTACCTCCATTCCTTGCTCTCTCTCTGTCTGATTCTAGAAAGTGATCGACAGCCTGGTTTTAAGCCCCCAAAGTATGTTGAACTAGCCCATCAAATCCTGTGCTGTACTCTCAGTCAAGACGACTGACCTATAAATTCCACAGACTTGTCGAGCCAGGGAAGGATCTTCTCGCAGAAGCTGTCATTGACAGGCACACGCAGGAAGTGTGACTCAGGAATGAAGTCGGGCTTTGGGCACGTGTTACTGGCATTGAGGACATAGGCGATATCGTTCTGCTGCATCAGCTCCTGTGGTGGAAAGACAGCGAGCAGGTCAGGACCTTACATGTTGGCACAACATCCTTGGGTGACCGTGCGGCAGCTCGCTTCCCCACCTTATTGAGCACGTCGCGTTGGCAGCCCAAGTAAAGATGGGGCAGGATTCGGGTGGGGCCCACGTTGGCCACAGGCAGGCATGGCTGAGAGATGCAGGAGGGTACCAGCGCCGACTTGCCCTCACAGAGGCCCGGGAAGAGGTGTGAGAACTCTGCGAAGCCACCTGTCCGAGAAACACGGTCATTAGCCGTGACCTGCTAATATCACATGAGCCCTGATTTTTCATATGGCTATACATTCATCCTTTTCTTTGATCACATACGCATTCACACACATAAGAGTTTCCTGTTAAGATCAAAGGGAGACTGAAAATTAATCTATCCTACAAAGTTTCTTTATAATTTCAGCTTATAATTAGACGCAAAGTGATGAATCCCATCTGTTTTCAGGCCAGCATTGTCTCACTGTTTCTCAATTACAAAAACTGACAAAAGCCGCAAACCTTCCCACAAGCGTGACACGTCAGACGTGCAAACATCCCTCGCATGTCAGGCATCCCACTGCTTTATGGAAGAACTGCTGTCAAAGAGTTTCAAACACTCCACTCTGGAGCAAAGTGGTACCTGAACAGCAGGTGTTTCGATGCTAGAGATGCACCAATCCGATATACAGTATCGGTATCGATCCGATCCTGGACTGAATTACTGGATTGGACATCAGGGAGGAATAAAAATGTAATCCGATCCATTAAACATCACGAAAATGCTTGTCAAAACTTGCAACATGCCGTAAGCAGATGCATCACGTTCTCACATAGGAACAGCACGTGTCAAATGATAAGAGCTTCTGCTGTGCACGAGCCCTGTCAGCAGGGCGGCAGTGTGGAGTTACATCAAACTCAAAGAAGAAAAAGGCAAGACTGCTGAATGTAATTTATGCAACATGAGTGTTTTGCGGGGAGGTACCAGCGTTGGAAACTTTAACACCACAAATCTGATTAAACAATGATGTTAAAAGAGATAAAGTTTAGATAAAAAGAAGCAGTGTTGCCGAACTGAGTCACGTTTCGGGTGAAATGTATTTTTTCCATATTATGAGTATAATATTTGTCTTACAGTTTTAGAATTATGCGGTTTATATCTGAGATTAAGGTATGTAAAATGCATCCAGACATTTTTTCCAAAGCATTATTTTCAGACTGCATCAGACTATCGCTTTGACTGGATCAATGAGAACACCTCGATCAGGGTGAAAGTCACCCATCCTTGCAGCCTTAGCACCAATGAAAGAGAAATTCCTAATTGTATGTGGCTGTATAGCCTCTGTTCAATGGCAAAGGGAGATAGAGAACAGAGGCATCACTAAATGTCAAGAGGATGAAGGGTAATGTGATACACACAGGATTTACAGTACTGAAAATAAGCTAATAAAGCATACCCACAGGATGATTGCTGAAACTTATATTAGTAAGTTTGTAATATACTCTGTAATCATGTTCTTCACTCCAACAGACTACATTAATCTGGTAGAGTTTTTGTTGCTAGTTAATTATTACAGAAAATGTTTAACTGAACTCCCTTATGATTAAGATCCTTTTCATTACCAAATTACTACTCAAGAATATCAGTGCCAGCGACAGAATTTTGCATCAGCTAGACTGACATGCTAAGACAAGAAAGATCAAATACTTGTAATAGGAGTTTAACTTACTTTAATGCTCTTATGTGACATCTACCCAAAAAAAAACCTCTGCCCACTGACAGACCACAAACCAGCTGTGCTCACTGAGTTCTCCAGCTGGACGGAATGACTGGGTATGAGGCTGAGCTGCTTATTGGTCTAGAAGGTGAAGTGAAAGAAGGATACAGTCTAACGTAATGGACATCAGACCAATTAAATCTGCTTCCTATGATAGAGAAACACCACTTAATGGAACAAAGAACTTCATCAGAATTGAATATACACCTATTTCTACTATTTACTTAATCCATCCTGAAGTTTTTGGTCATCAAACAAGAAAACTTGAATGAATGAATGAATGCCTTTTATTGTCACTATACAAGTATAGTGAGATTAAGAACTTCCATGCATACTTAAGCTTGCAGTTGAATGAACAAAACTGAGTGCAGAACAGCCTTACAATTTGGGAGATTACACATCACTGTTTAAACAAACCACAGAAGGTTCACAACATGGAGTTAATTTGAAAGTAATAGCAACAGAAAATGTGGACATGCACAAAAAATTGAGTGGTTTATGGAGTTTCTCTGTTCACTGAAAACCCACATGGATTCAGTACGCACTCTGCCTGACAAATCTCCTGGAAGTGTTCCATGACAGCGTAGCTTTAATGTGTGAAGGGCACCATTAAATCTCCGTCTCAGAGCTGCTCCTGGGGGGTTAGGGCCCAGTCAGTCAGTCATAGTCCGTCCACAGAGACAGGTAAACGGCGCCATCATTACCACCGACAAACGGTTTGGGCTCTGGGAAAGCAAACTCCCAATGGGACCCTGGCTGCCAGATGCAGGAGGACTGTACTCTGTTATTTAATGGTTATGTAACTGTGACGTAATGGTGACAAATTATGAACACACACGATAGCCATTTGAAAGGGCTTTCAAGGTGAACCGTGTTGCTGACCGTTTGCAACATTATTTATAACTCTTTCTGGAAATTCGATGGCCAAATGCATTCTCTGGTTTTGCCAAATATACATTTCTTTCGACCGCTATCTCTAATTGGGAGGTCCCTGCACCGTTCCGCTGGTTGGTTTCCACGTTTAAATAGCTTTCTGTTTGGGTGTATCTCAGCCACTTTCCCACCCGAAAAGAGGCAACGATAGAGTTTGCCGAGTCTCAGTCAAGGACACGCTTTAACTGGAGACCACAAAGATGGACAGACATGTGTTTAGATTTGACCTCATCTTTGGGGAATGTCTTACAGCAAATCAATCCTTGAGGACCCCCAGACAGTCGTTTTTAGGGAGCTGGGAGAGAGCAAAAATGTAGACTGTCTGGCAGGGAGCTGGGAGAGAGCAAAAATGTAGACTGTCTGGCAGGGAGCTGGGAGAGAGCAAAAATGTAGACTGTCTGGCAGGGAGCTGAGAGGAAACTGGGAGTCCCAAAGGGCTGGGATGTGAAACACCATCTAAGAGGTTCCCACAGCCTGTTCGGAACCCGTACCTGAGAGCAGGTGCACGGAAGGGAAGCTCTGCTCCAGTTTGGACAGGAGCACAGAGATGAAAGCCTCCGAGGACAGAGCGCTGGGGTCCCGGGAGCTCTGGTCGTAGACCACCACCTCCTGCCCCCACTGGGGTTCCAGCTGGACAAAGGGAACAGGGATTAAAACAAGCAGCCCAGCCAAGGGTCCTTGCTGAGGCCGGAGACCTCAGCTGCGACCAGAGCTGAGCAAGTCGGCAAAACAAAGATGGAGCTGCTGGCACGGCCCGGGTCAAAATAATCTCAGCAAACACCCACACACACCCACACCCACACATGCACACAGGTCTCTCTTTCCATGGGCACTTCCTGTTAACAGGCAACGCGATGAATGATTCCAAAGGACCTGCTGACAAAACCTAAAGCATATGTCAAGAGATCACAAAAAAATAAGTTGCACTGTTCCTTTAAAAAGAAAAAAGTCTGTTTTTTTCCTAAAAAGTCTGTTTTTGAAGAGTTACTATCTTTCCCAAAAATGTATCCCCTCAAACCACAACCACAGTAATGTGTGGACAAAAAAATACAATAAAAAATAATAATATTCTTGCCTTAACAGTAAACACAGATGTTACCCGTTTTAGTGGAAGCAGCAGAACCTCTAACCTTAAACACAGTTTGTGCACGCACACACAGGCACGCGCACATGCACACACACACACACACACACACACACACACACACACACACACACACACACAGGCACACAATCCCCTAAGAGACAGACGGCGATCATGAGCTCCTCCAGCCCTGTGAGACCATCCCAGTCAGATTGGCGAGTGCAGGTGATGGAGGTGCTGCTCAGATTCTCTGGCCGACTGACACGTGTCTGCATTCACGGCTCAGCTCATGGAAACCGCACTCCCCCGCTCAGAGTTGCCGAGCCGCCGTTATGTAACCGTGAATATACCACCGTTGAGCAACAGTTGGCTGGTGACATCCCCCAGCTACCTACTTAGCTGCATGCTCTCTTTTTTCACCATTAAAGCAAAACAGCATGTCGCAGACACGCCAAGCTCCAAACACAGCCCAGATGTATCATCAGGAGGAGGCCCAGTTCTGGAACTTTCTTCCTCCTTCCCAATCAATCCGCTAATCATCGATCCACCCAAGTGGATCTGTCCCCACCCCCTGCTGTGACCCCATCGTGCCCCAAATCCCAGACCAGCGCCCAGATCTTCGCCCCAGTACGCCTTACCTTCTTCTTGGCTGAGTGCTGGATGAGCTCTGTGATCTGCACTTTGTCCTGTTGCAGCCTCCTCTTCACCAGCTTGGAGCAGTTGACGTTGACGGCCTCCAGGATGTGCCAGGTGTTATAATCCACAAAGGGCCGGCTATCTATGAGCAGCACGCTGTCCAGCCCACCCTCCAGCAGGGCCACCAGGCCCTCGGGCCCGATGGGCCGCACCCCTCCTCCCACGGGATGCCCTGACATCACCCCTACGTCCTCGCCCCTCCAGGAGGGCCCTCAGGGGGAAAAGCACCACATCTTCTTGGCTGGGCAAGTCGTCCTGTGGGTGATGCCTAGCAGTCTCACTGAGAGAGGAGCAGACTCCAAACTGCTGGTCCTCCCAGTGTCCGTGTCTGTGTGTGTGTGTGTGTGTGTGTGTGTGTGTGCGCCTAGGTCTCGAGTCCGCGGCGTCCAGATGCTGCTGGGAGAGGAGGCTCGTGCAGGGGAAGCGGGAACTCTTTCGCGCAGACGGGGGCTTGCACAAAGGAGGGCTTTTCTTCCCTGAGCTCTATGGAGATGACATCATCCCGAACCCCCAGCTCTTCATGCTCGAGTGGTTATCTGTGGGGGGGGCAGCACATAAATATACACACGTTAGTCCCATTTTCTGAATTTCAACCACAGTGACTGAGGTCTTTAAAGTACACCAATATTTTTCTGCTTCCCCGAAAATTACAAAATACAGAGATAAAATACACAACAAAACAAATTAATAATGTTAGAAGCTATCCTGAAAATGCATTTTTTACCTCCTCCCCCCACCAGATTTTTCTGGGGCATATTCAAAAGGAAACCAAATAAGAGATTGCATTGACATGTCTGACATTTGTTTCACCACATCCTCAAATCAAAGCGTTCTGGAGCACAGAAACAGCCGGTGGCGGCTCATGATGGCGGGGCAGGTATGAAGAGAGCGACGGCTGAGTCACGCGGCCGACCGACGGCTCGGAAATCCCCGGGCCCTCGCTGAAATGTAGGGGTTTACGCGTGGGGGCAGAAATCCCCCTTGGACCACCCACAGTGCCCGATAAAACTCTGTGCAGCCAGGTCAGGCCTCACAATTGCCAGAAATAATAAAATATGCATTCTCACTCGGGTACCTCAAGGGTATCGCCTCCCAGCCTTAGGAAACAGTTTCCAAAACTACCTTGGCCAGTTGTATTCCTAATAGATTCCGGTATGTTGGGAATGCACCTAATCAATCTCTGTGTGGCTCGAATTTCACTAATAAGGCTTGGAATAGGCTAGAAAAGGCTGTCAGATTTGGATGATGGAACGGTGTATTCCTAAGGGCAAGAGTCAGAACAGGAAGGGATGAGAGTATGTTGATCTTTTGTAGAACACCCTCCCCTGGCCTGGCTTGATCAAGTCAGAGATAAAACCATGAATTCTATTGGTATGTGCAACATAAATAGCTGAAATGTACAAAAACATATACAGATAAACATCACAGTCTAGCCTACCTAAAACATGCTTAGAACACATTAGCCTACAGTTGGTCAAAGTCATTAACACAAAGCCAATTTTATAATAAAGTGTTGAATGTGTCAAATGATTTTTTGAATAATGTACTGAAAGTGAAAAACAGAATGGAACTGGAATACCCATCGCCAGATAGTCAAAATATTGTAACACGGGCCATTATAACCTATTTGTATTACAGACACTCCTCTACTTACGAACTTTCAACTTACGAACTTTCAGACATATGAACGAAGAGGACTGTAAGTCCAAATTGTGTTAACTGGGCTCCCGTTTCCTGTCCGCAACATCAATTTTTTTTTTCTACACGCCAATTCCGGGTAGTACGACTTCTGCCCGCTGCTCCAGCCGCGCAGCAGCGTAGCGTGCGTACTCCCAGCATCCTAGCTCTTAGTACTTGCACATACCCTTAAAATGATGCTGCATGTACATATACCGTATACATATACATAAGATTACATATATATGTATCTTAAGTAGGAGCTGCTCTGGATGCTCTGTAGCCCATGTGGTCTCATTAGAGTTTGAAGGGCTCCTCTACCTGACATTGAGCATGACTATGTGTAGGAAGCTGCCTGCAGCCTGCGATCCATGATCCCCCCCACCAAAAAAACGCTGCTTATGTATACACACATTAAAAAGAACAGAATGTGGGCATCTGACCACACAAGGGGTTGTCAGTGTTCGCCAGTTATGAATGCAGACTGTTCCTGAAGGATTCCAAATGTAACGTAAGGAGCAGCCAAGGGCTCCCTTGGCATCATGGCCATCCTCTCTGGTGCCTGGCCATGACTGTACAGGTCGTCTCATATTATTAACAGCGTAAGAAAGCTACTCATGGGTGGCTGTTTTCCACTGGCAAAGAAACAGACATTTTCAGGCTCTTGGTCATCGACATTAAACCGACCAACCATTGTAGGTTATGAATAATTTTACCTGTCATTTTTAAGTGAAAATGCCTTTAAGTTGGAGGGATTAAAGAAAGAAATCAACAAACCAAACAGAAGATTCTGTCTAGGACCACCATGAATGGTGGCGACTTGACCTGACAGAGAGGAATTAGAACTTTCCAGAACACGATAACCCAGGCAGCCAGAAACCGCACCTTCACATTAACAGCAGCAGTTTAATGGCCTGTCGTGCCTAATATGTGTGAAACTAGGTTGGGGGTGTGAAAAAAGCAGGAATATAAATCAGATTGCAGGGATCCAAAGGCCTTGTGAACACAGACTGATCAAACCTGGGAAAAGGACACCAGGTACAGAAGGCCACTAGTGTGTGAATGTGGTAGAAGGACCTCCAGATCATGTTTTGCATTATTATAATTCTAAAAGCACTTATACAGTGCAGAGTCATGATGGACTTGAATCCTGTGCTGGGAACCACAGGGCTGAAGGCAGGAGACATTCTGGGTGGGAGGCAAAAGGCACATAGATTTAAACACACATTACTATTCACAGACACCAATACACTTCACTACAGACTGAGGGGGGAAACCAAAATATCTGAAGGAAACTCCAGAGACTCCCCCCCGCCCTCCCCCCCAGGCCGACAGCAGTTCTCTGACACCCATGAAAGACGTGCAATATCCCAGAAATTTGCTGGCAAGAAGTTCAGCAACTTTTACCGCTGCAACCTCCAACCTCCCCTTCGAAAAATTTTACTGCAAGCACCCGCTCACAGTCAACAAATTTCCATCTCCCTGAAATCAATATGCATACGCAAGGCGAGTTGTCTGAAACGAACACACGCAAGAGGCAGGAACTGGACCTGAAGCTCAGCCCTGGAGGTGTCAGGCGACAGCGTTACCCACCCATCCACAATAATTCCATGGCAAATTATCCAGCACATGGTCAATGCAAGTTCCAAGCTGGATCCAGGAACACAGGGCATATAACAACAACAATAATGAAGAAGAAGAAGAAGAAGAAGAAGATTTTTACAGCAGCAATGGACAGTTTGTTGACTATCACCAGTAAAATTATTGTCTTTCACACCAAGATTGGTGAGTTAATCATATGCAGAAAACAAGAGCAGAATTGTACGAAAGTTTACAGTCCAACAGAGACATCAAGTCGAATGACAGTTAATGGTTAACAGCAATAATTCTGAGGCATCTGAAAAAAGAATCCTGTCCAATGAGCATGTGTGCTGGCCCTGCCAGGAGGAGCGGTAACACAATCTGCCTGCATACATGGGCCACGTCCAAAGCATCTCCACACGTATGGCCAAGAGGCAGCCCTGTCGATTCTGAAGCACTTCAAAAATAATAATAAATGAGAGATTGGAGGGGCGGGACATGGGTGCGAAACAGGCTCTGGGCTGAACTGTGACTGTACAATCAGAGCGAGACTAAATCCACAGAGATCCACAGCCCTACAGCTTATGGAGACATGAGCATTTATACTCATAATTAAATCATGGGCACCTCAATTCATAATGCTGACAAGTAGTAACACAAATACTTTACTTTGCCCAAAAATTGATATCATGATGACTGAGGTCAAATGCATGTGAGATCATTAATACTCCGTCCATATATCCAGCTGCATATATGTTATTGTATCCTTGAGAATGGAATACTCACGAATACTACATTAGTATAAGGGCATGGTTTCAATAGCAGCTGATACGCAGTAACTAGAGCTAGTAGATACATAGACACAATGCTTTAAATGTTACATCCACAATAAAGTTACACTTTATCATGTAAGTTCCTTCTTAATGCCAAGTATCAACGTTATGTGTGTACAGTTTAAGCAAACAAGCCTTGTTTAATCCTGTTAAACCAGCTAGCCAGGTAAATAAGGTAACCTGTACCACAAAGAAAATTCTCACTAGTTAATTACAGGACCAACCGCCAAGCAAACGGAATAAAAGTTCAAAGGTTGTCCATATTTATGTTCGGAGATGTTTCATGGTCGTATATGTACATAAATGATTCACAATACACAAGTGACTGAAAACGAAATTGAGAATGAATGCGTGTGTAAGGACTGAAATTTCGTGGCAGGCGTCCACAGTGAACAATCTTAGACACTCAGAAATCCGCATTTTTCTCTGTCACAATGATGGAAGACATTTCAGTTCTGTTGCCAAACTTCTTAAAAGCAGCAAATGATACATAATTATTAGTAAATGGAAAACCCGTTCAAATAATCAGCAATAAGCAATACTCTGCTACAGGAGAGTGTACCTTTTGCTAACATGAAGAAAAGCAGTCATAATTATCAATAATGGTTTCCACATGGTAATGATATACACAGACGTGTTTAACTGCAGTAATTCAGGTCAGGGTTACGACACACAGAACTTTCTGGATGCCTGAACGTGTAGTTTTAAACCCAGTTCCTTCGATCTCCGGACTCTCTCCCAACCTTCATGAAAAACTCCCCACTACAAAAAAAACCTGCTTAACGAGAGAAGAAGCAAATATTACACAGATTTGATGTATCGGTAATTCTTAAAATGCTAATGGTTGACTCTGAATTGATTAAATGTCCCCAGTAGGAAAGCAAAAGAATGTTATACGTTAAGAAAGAGCTGAGGAGGCTCCGCGTGTCCGACCTCGGGCAGGATTTCCGTGGCAGCAGAACATTAGCAGCATTGTTCAGCACGGATGAGGGCTACGTCCAGAAGGTTCTGGCAGATTGCCACACAGGTCCCAAGCTGCCATCCTTCGGACCACCGTTGGCAGCAGCGAGTCCAGAAGCTGAGAGGTGGCGGGATGAGAGGACAGCGCCATCCCAAATCAGAACTGACGTGTTCCGGGCCGAGCCAGACACCACACCGGGCCCCTCTGCCAATGCCTGGGGAGCCTGGGTTTCCACCAAGGGCGGCAAATTTCCGAAATGGGGCTCTGTTTTCTTTGGGGGGGGGGTCATGCGATACTGCATGTGCATGTTTCAAATGCATCTCTCATTTCCCCACGGGATCCTAAAAATAAGAACGGCTTCTGCATCCCACTCCGAGTTATCTCCCCGTCCCATCCGAGGCGAGAGCCAGGGAGAGCTCTACCTGCAAGGACATCTCTAGGCTTCAGGACCAAAAAGATGGCAGCTACTGTCAGTGAACGTTAAGGTAGGTGGTGTGGTGAGGGGCGTGGCCTGGAGATGGGGAATGGAAACGCCAGGTCACATGCATGACGGTGCAGCATGACAGTATGAGTGTCCCTCTCATGCAAATTACACAGATTCACAGATACATGTAACACCCATCCCCACCCCCCAAAATCAATATAAAAACGGATGAATGACTGGCTATTTCTAAAGAAGTTCTGGGTTTTGGGTGGCAATAAAGCCAATGAATAAAGAGAAAACGAGGAGAGTGTAGAATCTGCTAGAAAAACTGCAAGATAAGACGTGAGAAATTTCTGCACTGTTTAGTTGCTGTACAGTTTACACCTGTGCCGTTAAAATAGCTGACATGACGCAGTGCAGGACATGAGAAATATGGGCAAATCATCACAAAAAAAACATGGAACGGCTCAGTGTGATATAACAGTTGCAGAAGCCGCCCTTGGGGCTAAGCTGAGGGCACTGCAGGGGTGTACAACCCTAACCCTAACCCTAACCCTAACCCTAACCCTTCCTACGTGTCAGACCTCAAAGGCAGTGTGTATCACAAATACAAGAGATCTGAACTTCACCTTCAAACAAAATAAAACAATAACAAAATAATGTTATGAACTATGATATTTACACATGTAATGCTGACGGCATATTCAGGACAACAAAGGTATTGGTGGAAGAAAGAACGGACACAGAGTGTATGTGGTACGGTAAACATGCTACAGAGACAAGACACAGAGTAGCCATAAATTCAGCTCAGAGAAATACTAAACTAACTATGTGTCCATCTTTCAACCTCATGTCTAGCACAGGGTATTGGGGGCTGGAGTAGACATTGGACAGGGTGACACACAAACACAATTACAGAGGGTAATTCAGAGGCACAAATTTAACCAATCGCTTGTGTTGGATTGCGGGAGGAAAGTAGAGTAGAGTAAACAGAAAAAACCCATGTGACATGACACACACACATAGGTGGTGAAATATTAAACTGTAAACTTTACGGATTTCCCCCAAAAAATATGAACTACACCAATAAACCTGTAACCCAATTTGAAGAAAAAAGAAAAATCTCACCCAAAAGAATATTAATACGACAGGAACATCAGCTCGGAGATGAGGGCGCCCGCACACTTACTAATCCAGTAAGACACCACCGCGCTCCTTCCTGCTCCCCACCTGAATCCGTCTAGCTCCAGCAGTCCCTCGACTGCCAAACACGGTTCCTCTCTAAATCAGAGGGAATCCGAGCCCCCTGGGGCGGGCACTGGGACCTCACGTGTCCTCGGTGGACAAAGTTAGACTTTACAGCCGGTGAGCAACCACCGTCTGGACGTCCTCCTCGGCACTCATCAGCCATCCGGACAAGCTAAGAATAACCGCCGAAAAATCAGTACGGATAAGCAAAGCAAACATAATCATAAACAAACTACGCAATTATATTTTCACAAGTATTCAGTGCATAAAGATCCCCCCCCCCCCCAAGGCCCCAAAAAAGGCTGAAGCATCTGCTAACATCCAATAGCTAATGAGGCTTCATTCGACCCAAAGGGGACACAAACACGGCCATGTCATGTCAGTCACTTCCTGTACACCAGCCCCAATTCAGCATTAGTTCTTAAACAAGAAATAAAACCATATTTACTAGGCGGAACTCTTACTGAAGTACAGCTCTCGCTTATCTGAAGCACAAATATAAAGATAACAACACCAATCATAAGTTTGGCGTGTGATGTATATTACAATTGTCTCCATGACAGTGGTGTTTGATGGGTATCATACTTTGAACTGTAAAAAACTATGGAAAATATATCTTGGTTTGGCAAATCAAGTATACATGCATGAAGACACCATCAATGGATTACTCAAGAATTACCAGGGCATCTGTTTGATTAACTTGTCCACAGATATTTAGATTAATCGATATAAATCATATATATTGCATATAACAGAAACAGTGTATAAACTATACCCTGTTTCAGACAGTGGAAAACATTCTAAACACTGTATCACAACTCTTTTACCCTGATTTTAACAAGGTTTTGTTCTGAACATCACACATTTCTGGAAACCGATCTCTCAGACACCTCCTAAAGTCATACATTTTATACACATGGGAGACTTATAAAATAAAAATGATTAAAAGCTGTACACACATACTGAATGACAGCCAGCTTCATTCCAAGCCCAGATAATTCACATTTAAAAGCTATTAAAGCTGCCTGTCAGCTAAGGCCATCATAAAGGCCAAAATAAACATGCTAGAAACTTCTCACTAATCACTCAAAGCTGAGCAGCTCATTACCAGGCAGTCTGACATTACCCAATAAAATAATCGTAATGGTAAAAAATAAATGTGTATTGTGAGCAGCGTCACCCGTTAAGCAAGACGGCGGGAATCCAGGCAGGAAGCCCCGTGGTCTCGCTGTCACCTGGCAGGATATGGGGCAGAGCCACTTTAGGACACATCCCGTCAGTCTGCTCGGTACAACAGCCAGAGGATTATATAAGGACATCACATTGGTGCACCAGAAAAAAATTAAATAAATAATAAAATATTATACACACACACACGTTTAATTTAGGAAGTGCTCTTTCAGAGTCACTTGAACCCAAGCCTGTGAGCAGAGGGGCCGTGTTTCTGATTCTCTGGGTGGGGGGGAGCGATGCATCCCGATGTCAGGGATTTCTGCAGACTCTCGGTCAGTCTGATATGCTGATAAGACGTCTCCTCAGAGGAAGCTTTGCCATTTCCTCGCGTCTTGTTTACAACTAAATCATGGTGGAAATTTAGCAGAGGAATACATTTCCGTGGTATTTGAAAATACCGCGAGGGCTCTCCCAACCAAACTCACCCCCACCCAAATCCTAACAAAGAAATACATCTTTATTATTATATCATTTTAAAAGATAACTCTAAGCTTCTTTTCTTTTCTTTTTTTTAATGAGAAACTGAAAAAGATCTGTTTATGGTTTTGGTTGTTCTATCTATTCCTGCGTTTTGCTCATGGATGGTTTCCAGACCAAAGCGCATGTTCTTTCCAACCTCAACAAGTTAAACATCAAATGAGGCTGCTGCAGCTGTGCCTATCAATCCAAGAATATTGATGTGTGAATAGGGGTCTTAGGAATGGAAATAAAACTAAAGCAAAAAGGCCCAATTAGACAAAATTAAGGCAAATATGGTGAAGAAGAAGAAGTTAAGAAGAAGAAGAAGAAGAAATGTCTTAAACACTTTGAGAAACAATGTATGATTATTTCCTGATCTAAACAAGATATTTTACAGAAAAGTATCAGATGCAGATATTTAGGCTACATTACGTTCCATTATCGCCAACAAACAAACAAACAAACAAACAAAACAGTGAAGGAATAAAAGAGAAAAACGGCTCCATAAGGGCATGTGTGTCCGCTCAACCTCCCAGCTGCGCCGCGGTCATGCAGCGCGAGGCAGACGCTTATTTACACGGCGCGTGCATGCAGCGCATGACACCAGCAAAGGTGCCATGAAGGTAGCAGGAAAGTTCCCACACCTCCACCGGCAATTCGTGACTCGTGTCTGTTGCCCCCCAAGGCATTAATGTCAGTAAATATCTGCTTGCATATAAAGTCCTCCCTTTAATGAGTCTCACAGTCATTTCATGTAATTAAATTATATTAATATTTAATTATATGAAATATCATTCAAGCATATTTAATTATGTTAAATGATTCGTTTCCCATAACACCAATCAATATGTCATTTTAATAAATAATAAATTATTTTTCATACTTCTCTGCATTTCCCAATATAGCCTACCACCTACAACTTACATTCACTCCAAATTATTAAAATCTGTTTACAATACTCATATATTAGTCGTCCTTAATTGAATATATTTGTATATTTGAACTACTTTTACGTAATTAACTTCTTAATATTAAGGTCAGTTTGAGCGGTCATATGTGTGTACACTGAATTTCGTCCATGAAAAATCTCGGCATTTTGTCTAACGCAAGAGCAGGCGGCCGTTTAAGTGGAACAAGCGAAGTTATATTGCACAAGTAAGCTACTAATGTATGGATGGTTGTGCTGGGATAAAAGCTTGTAACTGGCTTCACACTCTAACGTAAAAAAGCTCCCATGTGGCGCGTAGGTATTCTTTCCTTTTAAATTGTTATTTTTTTTAAGTGTTCCAACAGTGTTTTTAAAAAGTGTTCAAATTTTCTGGAACACAACAATCAACAGCATTAATGTGATTTATTACCATCGATACTGTAATTTGGAAATCCGCCGAGTTTAATTCCTGTTAACCCCACACGGACACATTTTATCCCAGTCCTCTGTCCAATACAAACGTGAAATCTTACACAAATAAACCATTTTCGATTATTCTTTCACTTTAAATGCGCAAAATAAAACGACCAAAATCACCTTGAATGAGGTTAAAAAGTTGTTTTCTGGAGACGCTGGATGATTTTCAGATTAACATTTTACCAGCAGTTTCTCTACATGAAGCCCTAAATTGCTGTCCGTTTCTACCGCCGGCGCGGTGTCAAGCTTACTGTTATGTATTCCGCACGATTAAAGGCATCGATCCGATCCCCCGAGCTGGGACACTATATTACCCCGAACTCCCGGCCGGGACACATGCGAGGCCCCTCGGCAAAGTACGACTTTGTCATGCTGTAGATCAGAGGAAACTTACTGTAAAAGCCCGGTGGCCTCCAAAGTGCGTCTCCTCATCGCGTCCTTATGGTCGGGAGGGGGGCAAATAAACAAAAATGTATATACAAAAAAAAATAATAAACTGAAAGGAAAAAAGGTTTACTGATCACTAAACTTCAACCAAGAGATGAGGTCATCGGGATAAAAATAAAAGGATGGCGTCATTTGAAACCAGTCCCACTCTGAATGAATCAACAGTCTTAAAGGCGCAACGCAGAATTTGGCTCAGAACAGGCATTCATTTTACCCCAGAAACCGTTTTTCCTTCTAAAGCAATAGCGTAGAAATATATGTTGACGTACCGCCGTTAGTTTATCTACTCACAGTAGTGTACATATAAAAAGTAAACTTGAAATCGGCTGTTAAGTATGTATGAGAAAGTGCCGGGGCGGAGCGGCGGCTGAAGCCCCGGAAAGCGCTATTCTAATGACCTGCTCGCTGTGACCGCACTTGTTTGGAAAGTTTCCAGCTTCGGCCGGAGCCAAGTCCCTTTTAACCATTCGCAGCCTGGGCTTCTTGTTGTGGGCTTCAGCTTCCCTCTATATGGCAGCATGTAAAAGCAGAAAAACAAAAATTTGTCGGATACGTGGAATATTTGTCATACATAATGAACCCAGCAGTATGGGAACCATACAGAATATATATGGGTTATGAAATTAATAATTAGACATACTAGTTTTGGTATATATTTGTCAGCAACGGCTGCCTTTCATTTCTTTGTTAAAGGAAACCCTAATGAGCTTAATAGCTTAGAGTGCTTTTTCCTTAGGCGTATAATAATCCTGTCGAAAATTGTCATTGATGTGCTGTGTTGTTGTGGGACAGTTGTGTACGCGTCAGTAATAGTTTGCTGAGGAAGTACATTAATTAAGTGAATCAGAAATATTTAATCTCTTAACATTTAATATCAGACTATTAGAATACTACTGGTAACATCTTTAAATGTCAGCTTTACAATACTCATTTACCCTTGTTTCCATAATGCCACTCATAGAGCATAAATTAGTATTGCATTTAGTACTGCATTTAAGGCACCCAACAGTGACTTTGAACAGTGCCTTACATACCAGCAAGGCTGGCACAGTGTGACACTTATCTGCCAGACAATGTGCACCTCTAACACCTGTGTATGATGATCTAAACAAAAGACACTGCTTTTCATGTCATCTAACGTTGTTCCAGGAAAAGGAAAACAAAACATGCATAACCGCAAGCCGGCAGATGCCTTCTGGGGATGTATGGAAAACACACCTCCTGAGTCCCCAGTTTGTCAGGGCACATTTTCAGCTACTGGAATTTTCTATAAAAATTCCACCTGTACCTAGGACACTTAAAATCAAGCAAGATATCATCTCAGTCATACAAGGTAAACTTTCATGTCACTAAAGATATATGTCTGAATCTCCACATAATAGTAAAACTAGAAAACTAAATTTTTGCCCATCTTCAAAGCACATTTCTAGGACAAAGCCTCAGTGTGCTTATGCCTGGCAATAGGGTGCAATAGAGGAATGTGGACAGGAAGCTAGTCCATCACAGGCCACTGAAGTTTTCTTTCCCAAACTCTGTGACCTTCTTTGATAACGTCTCCAGGCCATTTCAGTAAAATTTGCAAGCACTTTGTCTACATAGTATCCAGACCTGTCCAGACAACACCTGTAAATTGTGCAAGATACAGATAGACCCTATCAGTCAGTTTTTAAAAGAGAAAGTGATTAGTTGTTCTTGCTGACACACAACAATGAAATGTGTCCTCCACATTTAACCCATGTGTCACAGCAAGGGGGTCAGCTAATTCAGCACCCAGGGAGCAGTACCTTGCGGAGGGTACTTCAGTGGTACTTTACTGGCCAGGGATTTGAACCAATAATCTTTCAATTACAAGTGCATGTTCCTAACCATTAGGCCACCAAGGATGTTTATTATGTTTCACACTATATCGCTACAACAAAGTATATATAGCTGTCCAATAAACACACACCATAAATGTATATAACCGACTTTTATGTCAATTTGCGCAGTCATATGTGTGTAATGAATTGTGCTCGCTCGCTCGCTCGCTCGCTCG